AGGGCAGCCAGAAGGCAGTAGTGACTCTGTCTTTTGTAAATGCCTAACTCTAAAACAGAAAATGCTAAATGTGCCAGCCAGATCGGGAAGAGGGGAAGGCTCTGCAGGGCTTATAGGCCAGGGTGGAACCTGTAGGAACCCAGGCCCTGCTCCATGAGCCTTGCTGTGGCACAAAAAGAGAGGAAGAATATGCGAGGAGCTTAATGTAACCGGAAGGGATATTTTGTACAGGTTGAGATTCTTTTACTCAGAAGGAGTGTGCATCATTTGCAAGTCACGGAAATTTTTGTTTATCCATGTCCATGTGAGATATGTTTCCTTACAAAATATATACCTATTACTTTGCTCATGGCAATAACCCCCAAATTTTTGTGTTTGCAGCAAGCTGACAGTAGAGTCAGAGAGCTTGATCTGACAGGAATTCAGAGAAAAAGATACTGGGGTAAAGGCTGGAGTAACAGGGGACAACTCAGAGAGTTAGAGGGTCTTGAGCAGGGTCTTGAAGGAAAGGATTAGACAGAGGAAAACGAAATTTGAGATAGGGGAAAATTTTAGAAAGGTACAGAATACCGTTAAAGAAACGAATGATTTTTTTAGTACATTCTTAGTACATGATAATTGACTCTTAATTGTTTGAAAATTATGAAACAATCCTGCAACATTTTCCATAATTTAATCAATGTTTTAATCATTAACATATTAATCTAATAAAGCATCTTCAGCTGTTAATGATGTAATAAATAACAATTTTATTAAATAGTTAGGCCATGATTATTTACCAATTCTGCATGTGCTCCCATCCTGAGACACAGATCTTAGACCAATCTGATTTCCCACTTCTTTTGGTAACATACATAAATGGCATGGGTTTACTACATTTTGGTGCTTGCTTTATATTATCTCATCTAGTTACTTGGTTCATGTTTATTTCAAGTGTGAATAACTTCCTTCCACTGGGGAGGACACTTTTAATTTTGAAATACCTACTGTGGCTGGTGTAGTACTGGAGATAACAGTTATTCAATAATATAAGATGAAGTAATCTGAGCAATTTCTAGACGATAAAGCCAATGTTATTTTACATTTATAGATGTTTTCTCCATAAAAGCTAAAAGTTCTAAGCAGAAATCATAGTCTCAGATGCACAGTGCTTATTTGATCTAAGATCTGTCCTGAGGTGACCTGTCTCTTGCAGTGAGGAGGAATATCCATTAAAGAAATCTTGCATATGATTTTAGGATGCACTCATTTCCCAGGGGAGTAAGCACTCATCATTTTCAATATTTTATCAGTGTGCTGTTCCCTCTGTCCTGGAATGGGCTTCCCTGTATAATAGTCCCGATTTATTTTTTAATGCACAGGTCTCACCTCTTCAAGGAAGCCTCTCAAGATTGCACGAGAGAGTGAATCACCCTGTGCTTCCTCTGTACCACTGTGATAATTGGATAGTTGCCCTTTCTGAGCTGGAATATTTATATGTAACTCACCCTTTTCTACTTCGATATCTTCGAAGGCAGGGACAGTGTTTCATCCATCTCTTTAGTACTCCTAGTTCCTAGCCCAGTGCCTGGTACAGTCATGCATTACCAACAGGATAGTGCTTAAATGTTTGTTGAACCTTATTTCAAACTCTTCTTTTTTTTACACAGTTGTTAAGTTCCTGGAAGCCTGGGTTTAAATTCTGGGCCAATCACTTACAATGGGAACTTGAGTAAATTACCTAATCACTGTATGCCTTAGTTTCTCCAATTTCAAAATGGGAATAAAAGTAATGGTACTTCTTAAGTTTGTTATGACCAATAAAGAAGTGAAATTATATGTACACACCCATGCATGGAAAAAACTCTAGAATGTAAATTTGTTGTTAGGTTTATTCAACTTAGACACATTCTTATCATACTAATAATTACCTTAAATTTATAGGTAATTGCAAGGGTGTTATTTAGGGATAATCCTTCACAGATGTATAAACCCTTCTCAAAAATGCCTTTATTTATAAGTAAGGAGGGGATTACCACTGGGGAAATGTCATATAGTTAGTCTATGAGTGAGGGACCAAATCCTCACACTGCACAGGCTGGGCCTCTAAACCTAAGCTAAAATCTACCTTGAGTTCTAAAGCCCAGCCCTAAGGTTACTCAGAGCTTCATTCAATTCCAAAATATTGCTAGATCAGGAGCTTTTTCTTATAATTTTCCTTTCTTTCACTACTTCACATCTCAATCTAATTCAGCTATGATTTACTGAATAGGTTTTTAGCTATGTATGTGATTGCTTAAAGACATTTACCAGTAGTAACACCTAGAGTTATTGGAAATGTCCTGTTTATGTCACTCTCCTACTAAAAAATACATATTTAAAGAAGTTATTCCTATTTTCATTATGAATAAATAGTGTGGTAAAGGTGATTTAGAAATATTAATATTATTTACAATTGAAATATCCTATAAGAATAATTATATGTAATTGAAGAGACTAGTAAATTATATATAAGAATAATTATATATATAATTAAAGAGCACAGTAAATACTCTTCATAGTAAATATACATATGTGAGAATATGTGTGTATATGAGTGTATAAAATTTACTATGCTCTTCAATTTGTTGAAATAAATTTTACTTGATTTCAAAGACTCAAATATATTTCTTTGAGCACATAAAAGGCTATAAAAACAAAAACAGAAAAGCGATGTGTTTGTAATCGTTCAAAAAAGAGTTGATTAAACTTTACTTCTAAGTGCTTCACATTTTCCTGATTATCTGTCGTCTGTGTGGTAGAGGAGAGAGAAGCTGTAGCCCAGGCTGTATGGGTTAGAGGTTCACTAGAAGAGAAGTCCTTGCTCAATTAGTCTTTTTTTCCCACATTAAAATAATAAACATTTACATGACACGTAACACATTCTATTCCACAGAATACACAGCTTGTTTTAATGTATGAGTAAGGCTGTTTTCCTCTCCATATCACTTGTAGAAGACAGAACAGGGAGAAAAACCAGGCCTTGCACTGAGACAAAGAGGCATGATGACTGAGGTTTGTCACCCTTTGTCATCTGCTTTAGAAAGATCGAGAAGAATGAGGTTATCAAATAATAGGTAAAATTATGATGTAGAAAAAAAGACATAAAACTTTATACCTGGGAAGTTCATAGGAGGACATCTAGTCCAACCCACCCAGTATATAAGCAAACTGAGTCCTACAGAGATGAAGTAAAAGTTGATTCACTGAGTCACTTTGGAATAGAACTGTTTTGTTAGCTTGGCTTTGTGATCCAGTGTCTTTTTTGGTCCCTTACATTGCAACCTAATCTCCTCAAATAGGTTATTTCATGGATGTTATTAACAATGTATCTTTTCTGAAGGTAAATATTATTTGAAATTCAACAATGACCATAAATGGAATAAAATTTAAATTAATAAAGCAAAGAGGCTAAGTGTTTCAATGACAATCATTTGAACCTATTACCTGCAAAGCTGTGTAGCAAGTATAGTTCCTGTGTAAAATTATTGTTGTGTTTTATTCTAAGAAAATGTAATTCTACGTAACTAGTGAATGATAGAGAGGGAACTAACTACAGGGGACAAATAAGAGAGACTATGAAGAGTTAGCCTAAGAAAATAAGCTGTCTGCCAAACCTCACACAGGAAGCACTGGTTCATCAAAGAACATTTCCATTTCATCTAAGTGATGAAAGATTTTCAAATCTGGTGGTGAAAGACTTATCCACATCTCACCTTGTAAACTATCATTATATCAATACCAAAAACCAAGAAGCATCACCATCAAAAATAAGACAAATCAAACAACACAAATGAACAATGTCTCCTCCTCAGGAAGAAGTCTGACCCTAAGGAAGAGAAAAGATTCTCCTTCACAATGAACAGTTCATCTTAGTGGGATGGCATAGAGGCAGATCCATTACAGAGACACTAGCTAATCTAGGTTCCTTCTATGATTTTCAGAAAGACAAAAACTCTGTTGAAATAGCTATGCACTCTAGTTCAGTTTTTCGATGGCTCAATTTCCTACCTTTATCTGTAAATATGTCCACTAGAATGCACATTTTAAAATACTCTCCAGAATGTCAAGGTAACTATAAAAAGAATATCATGAAATTTTTTTGGCGTGAGTAAATTTTGTTATAAGACTTTTGCTGCTAAGGAACAAAAATATGGAGCCAATGGTTATAACAGGAGAAACAACTGCTGACAATTTAAATCAATTCAATATTTCACTTACCTTTAGTTTTCCATAGTACTGAGCATAGTGATGAATTATCTAATATGTCTGATCAAATATTATGTAATTTTGGGCAATTTAAAATATATTTTGTAATACAGAAATAACCATCCTCCTTTCTGTGTTTGCTTTTTTCTATATACCTTGAGGACATAAAGCTTTTAAGATTTATAAGCAGTAGAAAATATCTGAAACTCAAATTTGTATTAAGACATTCTTTGCACAAATCCACTGACCCATTTTTCTAAAGTAAAAATAACTGCTGGCTTTTTAACTTGCACTGAAAATACAAAATTACAGTTCAATAATTATATTCATACAGTACCTTGAAGACTATATTTCAAGTTGCACAACTGACCTTCTTTTCTATAAAAATATAGAGCCTATATTATAAGTAATTATATTATGGAACATTTTGAAAAGGAGAATCCTGTTGCTTTTCTTGCATATAAATCAATTTGGATCTTTAATACTTCTTTGCATTTCCTTGCATATTTATAAACATGGTTTTACTTTTTTTTTAACTTATGGAAAATATCTGACCACTTTACAGATTGACAAATGATACCTGGTTAGACAGCTGTACAGAAAAAAAAAATAAACACACACATGTAACAGATTTTCAGAGACAGGAAAATAAACTTCCTTTTGCAAAGAAGAATCAGTACACTCTACAATCACTCACAAGCCATAGCACGAGGATCCACTTTTGTCTCTCCAGCAAGAACTTGAGGTGTCTAAGTGGGATTCACTTCACTCACCTGTTTGGCTTAGTTGGGATGTGCTTCTACTCCTTCTAGACACTATGGCAACCACTTTGGCACTCAGGCTGGATCTCCTTTTCTTTCCACCTGCTCCAACTGTACCCACAGCCGTGTCGGACTGACTGCCGTCATTATGCTCCAGTGTGTACATCTCCCCACTCACACTGGTGCTCTTCGTAATGGCTCTTCCTGAAGTCCCCATCCGTCTGCCTTGCATTTTAGGGGTAAATGAACTATATTTACAAAGTAAAAACATATACGCATCCATAAATTACAGGTCAGTATAACCGAAGCTCTAAATCTAATTTATCTTGAAATAATCCAGGCAAATTTTTAGGAGGGAAAAGCCAGTTGAGTAGTAGTCTTACAGCTAGGATTTACTAGATGTAGCCTAAAACAATAGTATTTCAACACAAGAATCTATAAACTTTTAGTAAAAAGAAATGCAACCAATGTTATCTACAGGGAGGTAAATGTTACTAATTTTATAGTTACTATGTTACTTTCAGAGAAAAACAAAAATATTTAAATCAATAAGACAAGTTTATATACATTCCTCAGGAAAAAAATATTAAAAATGGATACTCTGGATTTGCCATACAAGATTAAAAAATGAAAACCACATCTGTTCTAGTTCCAACTAACAGATACCTCTTTTGCTATTTGAGGCTTTATGGGTCTAGGAAAGACTACTTATGAGGCAAAGAAAAATCATATTTCCTCCTTCTTCCTTGTCCCCGCATGTTGCATCTCTCCCAAATTTCAACTCATTTTCCTCTTTCAGTGTTTCAAACTCATATGCTCAGGTTGAGATGTTCCTTTTTTTCCTTCCCTATCAAAACTTGTCTATGTTCCCAGATTATACTGATTTATCTGAATAAATTACTGTACCTCTCTCCTAAATGAGAAAATTATTGTTGAGAATTTCAGGCGCCATGGGAGGTTGGTGGGAAAAAAACCGTTTCTACAAGCCAAAGTAAATGTATGTCTGTGAGTCAGGGAGAGAGGTAGGGCAGGCAAGCTGGGAGCCACAGATGTTAGGATTCTTCATATCTTTTAAATTATACTGCATATGCAGTTATATTATCCATCTAGACTGGCCTTTTTTGGTCTAATAAAGACCTGGTTGGATATATCTGAAATGACCCTCTTTATTTTACATTTCCTTAAAATATCTGCAAAAATTGGCTTACATGACCCTCACCACCATCTTGATTTTCTACTTCTTGTTTTGAAATACAAAATACATTAATGTAGTATCTTTTAACAGTGATGACATTTAATACTTAAGTTGAGATAAATCCTAATATGATTAGAAATGATAAAATAGAAATTCTTGGGATCACATAAGTATTTGTGGTCACATATATAATGAGTGTTTCAGTAGAAAGGGAAATTGATATGGGATGAGTTCAGAAAGGTGGGAGAGTGAGATTGTGGAAGGATCAGAAGTTATGGACAAGAAACAACACTGTTTGATCCTTAGGATCCTTCCATGAATTGAATTGAAAAATGAGACCCCTTTTTGATAGGAATCATTTGGAATTTTTAATCCCTAGCTGTATTACTTGAATTGGTCCATAACAATATTAATATTTGTATTCTTTCAATTTATTCTAATCAGCATTCCATTAACTCAAAGTTTGTAAAGCCATTTGCAAACCTAATAATTTTGCTATGCGCTTTATGCAAACTCTTTTTTCAAAACATTAATGAGGACAGTATTACACATAGCTGGTTCAAAACTGATTCCTGTGGGGTTTATATTCCCAACTCTAGGGGACCTTCTTTCCTGGTTAATTTTACAATAAATTTCTTCTGTGTCCTCGCCAATTTATTTCAATGCATGACCTAAATCTGTCACCTCTCCTTAAGTCCACTCTTAACTACCTGCATTTCTATGATTTTACTTGCAGACTTCTGCTGGAGGATATGAGGCAATGTCACAGTTTGGTCAGTTTTGCTGATGATCCGTCTTCAATCAAATGCCTGTGACAGAGAAGTCAGTAGTTTTCCCACCTCTCATCACTCTTTTTAGCACACTCCTCACCGGGGTTATTGAAAACTTCTGACGATTTTATTTTTACCTTAATAAAGTCCGGATAAACTAGCATCTACCTTTTTTCTCCCCATTATTTCCATGAAAATGGAATTCTATTACAACTCTCAATTTGTATTTTAAAAGTTATCCACAAAAAAGTTATTCCTTGTAAAATATTTAGGAATGTTCTTTAGGCTATAGAAAAGTTTAAAAGTATAGGGAAATGTCTTCAGTAATACTTCTATCCTGAAAATGTATTTGAGATGAGCTAGGAAGATTCAAAAATTTTTTTCATGGACATTCAATCACAGCAATGAAATGTTCCACTATGTTGAAAAAATTCTGGAAGGCAGCTATGCTCACCACTATACCACCAACACACACTATGTGGACAAGACTTCTGAAAAAATTTAGGGAAATCTGTATAGTGATTACCATTTAGGGGGTTAAGAAGTTATGTTAAAATGATTTTTGTAAATAAATGATATAACTTCTCCTCAAAAAATAAAATACTTTATTTAGAATTTTAAAAGCATTCTTATACGATATGACAACTGTGCATAGCTTCCTAAAGAATCTGGAATATCATAATGTTCAACGAGAACATGTGAAGGCATTTTCAATTCTGCTTACCTAATTGAGGCGAGAGGTTTCTGGGGTCTAATCAGGTTAATTTAACCCATGTGAAGCTTACTGTTTTAGTACAAATATGTTTTCTATTCCCCTATTTTGTATCCTTCTATTTGTTCTGCTTCCATTGCCTGGAAAACTATTCCTGTCATTTAGTTTCATTTAGTGCCTGAATCCTTCAGGATATACTTTAATGCTTTCTGATTTATAAAGCTCCTCAGAGTCTCCCTAGTGTCATGACTCCCGTTTCCTAGCCCTTTGTTTTCTAGTTTCTATTGGTTATATTAGGATTCTGATATTTTATATCAGCATGCACTTTATGCATCACTAGATTTGCCACATTGCCCTTCCCATTGCTGAGTGAACTAAAGATTTATGAGTAGGAAGTAAAAAAAAAAAAAAAAGCGATGTCAGTATGCAAATGGACTATGATATAACCCATCTTTAAAAATCAATCAAACAAAAAACCCACCTTTCTTCTTTGATACTCCCTCTCCCTCTGGCTACTGACTTTTGGCTAAAAATCTCCTCAAGCAATTGTCTGTATGTCCTCTCTTCCTAGTCTATCCTGAACTAATTTAAATCAGGCTTTGTCCCTACTACTTCACCAAAGCTGCCTTTTTTTTTTTTTTTTAAGATTTTATTTATTCATCTGAGAGAGAGAGCAGAAGCAGACTCCTGGCTGAGCAGGGAGTCCGGTGTGGGACTCAATCGCAAGACCCTGGGATCATGACCCAAGCGAAAGACAGACGCTTAACTGACTGAGCCACTCACGTGACCCCAAAGCTGTCTTTTATTAAAGTCACCTGTGACTTTACATGGCAAAATCCTATCATTGCACAGTCCTTACCCTTCTGACCTCTCAATAAATCATGTATGTGACAAAACATTTGATTCTACTGATCATGAAACACTTTATTCTTATGAGACACTGTAGTGTCTCATTGACAAGAACTTTAATCTCTTTCATCACTAAATACTGGAGTTCTTCAGTGCTCAGCCCTCTGACCTATATTCTTCCATATGAGACTAACTCCCTAGATGTCTCATCTGGTCTTGGGCTTTACATATTATCCATACTGCTGCAAATTCCAATTGTTTTTCTCCATCTATACTCAGTCCTGAGCTCCAGATTTATATAGCCAGCTGTCAATGGACATTCCTGTTTGGATATGTTTCTCAAAGATAACATGTTCAACCCAACTGAGAAACTGCTCTATAGCTTATCTTTCATCTCACATTAAAGATACTCCATTTCCCCAATTGCTCAGAGTAATAATTTCCCCCTATAAAAAAAATCTAATGTGGATTTGAGACCAAGAAAAAAAAGTTACTTTACTTTTTATGCTCTGCTTGAGCATTATCTAACAAGTCCACTTTAAAGGTCATTTGACCCTCCAGGGAAATGTAAAATTTTTGACTATTTACTCTTATAATAATTATGATCCAAACATTTTACAATGCTGTAAAGTGAGATGTTAACTTGAATAAAATTGATAAGGAGCAAATGATTACTATTTAGAAGATGGGGTAACTCTAAAGGTTATGGTTTTACTGACCTAGAGAATATTACCTAGTTTTGAATCTAAATTCATAATCTTATTCCAGCATTCATTTTTTTTCAATGACTATATATGTGCATATATAAGTACCTGAGTTTCTTGGATCATCTTTGGAATCAGTTTATCATCCTACTGGTTTTCTCACTAATGAGTTAAAACTTCAACATTTGCTATCCATTGTTTTATTACTATGTTTTAATTTTGAGAATTATGTTTTGACTGTGTTGGGGAGTCCCATCAAAATACCCAAATGGACCCCCTGCCGGATACAATTAAACTCTTTTGCTGGAGCAGGGCACCTCATGGACTCCTCAAACCCAAGGCTGCCTTTAATCAAGTGGCAACCAAACATTACGTTCAGTCTCTGCTTTTCTTTTTCTGACTGTGGTTTTCTGTGTTTCTTTCTTTGTTTCTGGTTCTGGTAAATGGGCTCTTATTTTGCTTGGTTCTAACTAATAATACATTCCTCACTAACGGCACCAACAATAGGAAATCCACCCATGGAATTAAATCTGTTGGGTGGCAGACATGGATATGTTACAAGTTGGACGGCAAGTGACAAAAAATTTGGCTTGTTAGTCTTTTTACATGTCTGTTCGCCTGCTACTAAAAGTTCACATCACTCATGAAAATGTCTTGTGCATACTGAAAAAAGAACTGCTCTTTAAAAGTCTGGGCTTAGGTTTCAGTGTTAATTTTGGCCCTATGGCTAAGTGGTAAAACTGAAGTTGCTAGTTCTCTTTGCATGCTTAAAAACAGTGTTTTTGATTGATAATAAAAATCTCTTACTTTCTGTACCTTAGGGATAGCTGTCCAGGCAGATGGATACTAGATCCCAAGGTATTTTAAATTTAATAGAGCTCCTGTTCTGATTGATCTATACAGATGAGTAAGTACTTATATAATTCTAATATAGGTAACTAAAGAATCTCTAGAGAAAAAAGAAACTGAAATTCTGATACTTTGAAAATACTAGCCTTTTAAGAAAAAAATTTTTCAA